ACTCACCATCCTCTGCAGGCCTTTCCTATTTATTTTTTATTTTTTAAAAATGTTTATTCATTTTTCAGAAACAGAGTGCAAGTGGGGGAGGGGCAGAGAGAGAGGGAGACACGGAATCCAAAGCGGGCTCCAGGTTCTGAGTTGTCAGCACAGAGCTCGATGCGGGGCTCGAACTCAGGAACCACAAGATCATGACCTGAGCTGAAGTCAGCCGCTTAACTGACGAGCCACCCAGGTGTCCCAGGCCTTTCCTATTTTAAATATCAGAAACACTTAGCTTGGGCTGCTAGAGCAGGATACCATAAACTGAGTGGCTTAAACAACAGATACTTATTTCCCACAGTTCTGGAGGCCGGGAAGTCTGAGATTAGGGTGTCTTCTTGCTGTGTGCTTTCATGGCAGGGAGAAAAAGAGAAAGAGAGAGGTCATTCTCTTGTCTCTTCTTATATAGGGGCACTAATCCTATCATGAGGGCTCCATCCTCACTAGCTAATTACCTCCCCAAAGCCCCATATCCAGATACCAGAACATCGTGTGTGTGCATGTTGGGGGGGTGTTAGGGCTTCAACACATGGATTTCAGGGGAAACAATTCAGTCCACTGTAAACGCTAAAACCTGGCTTTCTTTGAAGGACAGCTTTAGGCACAGTGAAACGATGCGGAAAATGAAAAGGTTGCTCCACCTTGCCAAATATTGCCCCCTGCTTGCTAGTTACTATAAAATGCTACGTAAGGAGTGCCTGGGTGGCTTAGTCGGTTAAGCGTCCGACTTTCGCTTAGGTCATGATCTCGCGTTTCGTGGGTTCGAGCCCCGCGTCGGGCTCTGTGCTGACTGCCAGCTCAGAGCCTGGAGCCCATTTCAGAGTCTGTGTCTCCCTCTCTCTCTGACCCTCCCCTGCTCATGCTGTCTCTCTCTCTCCTAGAAATAAATAAAAATATTAAAAAAAAAAATGCTACGTAAATGGGAGATGGTATAAATGGGAGATGGTTTTCCACGGTGCAGTTAGAGTTAAATATATTTAAATGCAAACAGGAGGAAGTTAGCATATTGGTGTAGATGAGCCTTAATGTGTATTTGTGGGTGGTGGTGGAAGTGTGGGCAGCTGGGTGAGACAGCAGGAAATCCAGGTGCCCACAGAGAAGAGGAGGGGCCGATGGGGGGAAGGAGGGGCCAGAAATCCTGCCACAGGCTAGGGCTTCTTGTTATCTCTGCTTATCTCTGTTTATGTGCACACATAGCAATGATGGGCCAAGGTCCTGTTTTTACTGTCAAAGGGGACTGGTGGATGGCAGCGGGGATGGAAAGAAGGGGCAACCTCCTGAGAAAAGCAAGAACCCAATGCCAGATGGGATGAAGGAAAGGAAAAGGCCAAGGACACCTTGCTAGGGAGAGATAAGAGCAGTGTTCCCTCACTGCGGTCTCCCCGCACCCTCCCAACCCAGAGGAATGGTGACTCTGGAGAGGGAGCAGGCTTCTGGCAGGAGATGAGGGATTTGCTTTTGGACACGTGTTTGAGCTATGGCAGGACACCTGTTCCTAGGTCAGAACACAGGAGCAGAGGGACAGTGAAGTGGGAGGGGCCCCAGGTATCTGGGTTGGAGGGTTGGATCTGAGAGTCAGCTCAGGACAGTGGACACGGAATCTAAGTGAACAGGCATGGTCTTGAGAGAGAGACAGAGGTGGGGGTATGAGGAAGAAAAGAAGCAGAGGGTCTTGGAGGGGCTCTGAAACTCACATTTGGAGCCTGGTTGACAGTGATTTTGGAGAAGTCTTATTTTGACCCCTCTGAATCCTGTTTGGTTCCCTGGAATCCATTTTCCCACAGATGTGCTCAAGGAGGGTCAGTGGAAAGCTCAGAGAGCTGAGTCTCCCTTACTCCAGATTTGATCACGAAGGGATCTCCCCCCTTCCGGTGGTCCCCAGGACTGGGCACCCAGCGCTTCTTCAAGCCATAGTCTGTGGGGGGCTCCTGCTCTGGCGGAGAGCCCAGCAATTTGTTCCCCTTGCCTTTCCTGCTTCGGATTGCAGCCTTGGGTAGCCCGAAGTAGGCTGTTGATGAGACCATCATTCTACTCTGCCTTGTGCCAGCTCCTTCCAGCCCAAGACATCTATCATCACATGGCAATCCAGCCCCCTTGGTTCGATGCAGACAGGTGATGGCCAAGGCTGGGCTGTGCCTGACCCAGCCTGGGGCACGATGGTCACCACTCCACAAAATGAGTCATTCCCTGGCAGCCTTTCCCTGCTTCCTCTGCCCCTCCAACTTGAATGCAAATGTCACCCCCTGGGATCCTATCATCGTGAGATTTTTTTTTTTTTTTTTAAGAAATCCCATATTGAAAAGGACATTTGTCCTCTCTCCTGTTTAAATTGCTTTCCACGGGTTAGGGAGACCTGTCCATCGATTTTCTTCTAGAGAGCAGAACGAGCCCTGTGAAGATTTTGGCTAATTAACTTTTGGAGAAGTGCTGCTTGAATTTATCAAAAAGGTTGAAGTCTCTGTTCTCCTCCTACATCTTGAAAAAGGCTTTAAACTTTTGTTTCCAAATCTCTGCCAATGCCTGGTCTGTTTAAAAGTGAGTTCCCTGGAGACGGTGGCGGAGAGGGTGTTAGATGTCACATTTTTGCAGGTTCAATCTGTAATATAGCTGTTCCAGTCCGAAGAAGGTTTTTTTTCTGTTTACATAAGAGAGGTATCGTTCACACCAAGATTACATTTAAAAATACACATTTCCCCCCCAGCATGCCTGTTACTAATAGCATTGCATGTTACGGAAAGTGGAAAGTATTTAAGATGAAATTAATTTTCGCCCAGCGCACCACTTTGTTTGACTTTCTCGTTCCATTTGGTGTGGGGCACGGACTTGGCCAAACTCACTTTCCCTTCCAGCAACTTCGCTTTCTTGTTCCTCTCTTTGGGATTGAAATTGTTGGAAGCCAGTTATGAGCGTCTCAGGAAAAGTCTAATTTGAGATCCTGCTGTAGTTTCCTTTTATGCTGGCTCCCAGAGTTTGTTTTGAAAACGGAAACCTTCTTCTCGGCAGCCGATGAGTTTGTAGTGTGCCATTTTCTTTTTCTTATGGCTTCTCCTACAGCAGAATTTCTGGGATTGGGATAGTTAACATCTCTTTTGGCCATCTGTCAAAAGATCGTGGGAAAACAGATTTCTGTTTCTCACATTGGACACCTCTCTGTTATGTGCCCGAGTCAGTTCTCATCAATGTGGCATGGCTGGTCGCTGTTTCATGAAGAAGCTGGAGCATCCGGGACACCCTGGACGGGCTGTGTGTCACCTTACCTGGGCTGAGCTGCCTGTGAAAGTTCTGGCACACTGAGCTAGTTGCCTTAGCAGTGGAGGCATTTAAGCTGGTGGGACACAGATGTGAATGCTTTGTAGGAAATGGTTCTTTATTTTTGATCAATCTCATGATCCTTGTTACCATCTTTGATTACATCAGCTCATGTTCCGTTTTATAGCATTTTAATGGGCTTCCATCCCCCCAATTCATTTCCAGCTGTGTGGCTATTATAATTTGATTACAGTTTGGTTTTGCAACTGCTAGGATACTTTCTGAGCACATTATGCCTTCCTTGTGAAACTGAAGATGTTCAGAGGGGGAAAAGGAGCAAGGGACTTTTTTTTTTTTTTTTAGGAGATATGTCAATAAGTAATTTCTAAAAGATGGCTCAGAAACTTCAATGGTTGTATCTTCCCGGAATAAGAAATTTGCTTTAAACCCTTTGGTAGACCCTGACCCACTGACTTTTTAAAAAAGACTATAGAAAAATCCCTCTAAAATTTTGCTTTCTTTAGTCCTCTAAATATTTTGGTTAAGAAATATATTATGCTTAACTTAGATACTTTCTCACCCCAATTTTGGCCTCTTCAAATCTACACAGAACCAAAACAAAGGGACATTCATGATGTTGCTTCAAAATGAGCTACTTGGTTCTTCTTTCTGGCCTCACAATCCCTCTGGCTCCTCCCCTTCCTGACGTTCCCTCCCCTCCCCACACAGAAGTGCAAGTCTACCTGGCACAGGTTATGTTATTACATTTGTATTTTCTTGAGTCATTTATTAACCTCCCACATGGGCCTGTCTTTGATTCGGTAGGTATTTGATCTCACTGATTTTTTTTCCCTTTACATTGATCAGTTTTGCCAATGTTATATTTTTGGTCTTTGAAAGGGTATTATCTTAAAATTAGTAGCATCACCACATGTACAAGGACAATAAAGATTCAGGAACATAAAATTTGCTGTCAGATCACTACTCCAACAAACCAGAAAGGTCTTACTATTTGTGTTTTAGACCCCAGGGATTGAATTAGCTTGACTTCAAAATGCAACTACTATTATAGATTCTTCCTTTGCTTTCAGTTAGGAAGTTATTTTTTCTTTAAGTGTGTGGTTTTTAAAGATTGGTACATGCCCCCTTTCACCTCCTTTCTCCATAATAGCTCTACTTTTATGAGATATTTCCTGTGTCCTTCTAGTCTGTGTTTATGTGGGGTGTTTCTCTTCTATTGTGATGGAAATCTGTGCCTCCGTGCTTTGGGGTTCGGGTTCACTCTAAGAGGGCCTTTGCTGGCAATTGCTGAGAACAAAGTGTGGCTAATGGAGGATCTTAGGAAGAAGGCTCTAGAAGCCTGAGGTCCTGGTAGATCCCATGTAGAAGATTGTTCTAGAACCACCTCTAGAGTGGGACCTCATGCTTCCTAGAATGGGGACTTGTCACTTTTACTAGTGGTTTATTGAGGGGCCCTAGGCTCTTGCTTAAAGGGGACTCTAAATTCTCTGGTGGATTTGGTATGGGAAATAGAACCTAGATGAGACCTCCTAAGTTGGGTTCTACCCCTTGCTACTCATTGCCTTGGTCTTCAGATCTGCAAAATCTTCCCGGGGAGGTAGGTGGGTATCATCCCTTATCCTCTGGGTATGTTTCTGTTTTCCCTGGTCTCATTCCTCCTCCTCCTCCTCTCTCTCTCCTCCCGACAGGCTCGGGGACCAGTTCTACAAGGAAGCCATCGAGCACTGCCGGAGCTATAACTCGAGGCTGTGTGCAGAGCGCAGCGTGCGTCTCCCTTTCCTGGACTCGCAGACCGGGGTGGCCCAGAACAACTGCTACATCTGGATGGAGAAGAGGCACCGCGGCCCAGGTGAGCCATGCCACCCTGGCACTGGCGCATATTCTGGCTTCTAGTCTGGATGGAGGAGGACCAGACATCATCCGGGTATCTCCGCAGTGCAGCTGGGGAAGGGCAAGCTATACTGCAGGCTGGGATACTCTCAAGGAACTCAACCACTTTTCTAGCTCTTGAGACATGTCCCAAGGATGATGGGGGAGGGGTGCCATGAAGCCACGTTGGCGGGGAAGGTGGGGGAAGGGGAGCAGAGTGAAAGAACTCAGGATTTAGCCCCAAAAAAGGGAAGGTTGAGGACATGGTATCCATCTCATCCTTTGCCCTTTTTGTAGTTCAGTGGTTATAAGCTGGAAATCTGACGTCAGATCTGGATTTGGAGGCTTGGTTTGATCATCAAACCTCTCTCCCTCAGGTTCCTCACCTGTGAAATGGGAATAATAATAGTTTTCACTTTAGAGTTTTGTCAGGACTGAATGGAAATATTCATTAAAAAATGTATGAGTCAGCCATAGGAACTATGTACTCCAAAAATGCTGGCTATTATCATTGATATTACTATTATTATTATTTATTATTATTATGATACTAGTCTTCTAGGCTCCAGAGAACACAATAAAGACCAATGGGTGGAGATTGGGGGGAGGGGAGCAGCCAAGGGAGTGCAGTTTTCTGGCTCTCTATGGGTCTATTTTAAAAAGTTTTTATGATGAAAAACTTCAAACCCATACAAAAGTGGAGAGATTAGTAAAATGAATGTCCATATTTTTATCACCCAGTGTCAACAATAATCAACTCATGGCCAGTCTTGTTTCATTTATACTCACCTCCCACTTTCCTTCTTGACCCTAGGTTATTTTGAAGCAAATCCAAGGCAACATTTTATTTCATCTGTAAATTTTTCAGTATGTATCTCTCTAAATGGCAAGGACATAAACAGACATACCCACAATGGTTATCAAAGCTCAAAGGTAGCAATAAGACTTTAACAGAATCAAACATTGGTTCAACATTTATTTCTCTCTGATAGTTGAAATCAGAATCCAAATTGGAACCCTGCATTGCAATTGGCCGATGTATTTCTTAAATCTCTTTAAATGTTGGCATGTGTCTGTCTGTTTGTCTCTCTCTCTCCCTTGCATGTTGTTTATGGAAGAAACTGAGTTGTTTGCACTGGAGGGTTTTTAGAGTCTGGATTTTCAGATTGCATCCCCCATAGTGTTATTCTTGGGAATTGGTTGTTAAGACTAGAGACCTGAGTAGATTCAGGTTCAGCTTTTTTGGGCAAGAACCACTCCTAAGTGGGTGGTGTGTTTTTCCATCAGGAGGCTCATGTTATCTGGTTATCTCTCTTTTACTGGTGTTAGCAACCTTTGATGGTAGTTGCCTAGATCCTTTATTCTGGTAAGGGCTGCAAAAAAGGTGACATTTAATTTAAGGCTGTCACTAATTTTTCATTTATTAGCTCTGTAACCTCTATAAAGTGAAAGATCTCCTCATTAAAATTTTGGATATTGTGAGGTATAGTTCACACATGACAGGAAGGATAAATAATTTTGTCCCTTTATTTACCAGTTGATTTTATTTTTCATCATGATAAGTATACTCCTTAATCTCCATCCCCCGTTTCACCCCTCTCCCCTCCACTCAACCTCCCCTTTGCTCACCATCAGTTTGTTCTGTATTGTTTTGTTTTTTTTAATGTTTTATTTATTTCTAGGAGAGAGAGAGAGAGAGAGAGACAGCGTGAGCAGGGGAGGGTCAGAGAGAGAGGGAGTCACAGACTGAAGCAGGCTCCAGGCTCTGAGCTGGCAGTCAGCACAGAGCCTGACGCGGGGCTCGAACCCACGAACCGCTAGATCATGACCTAAGCGAAAGTCGGACGCTTAACCGACTAAGCCACCCAGGAGCCCCATGTTCTGTATTGTTGAGACTCTGTTTCTTGGTTTCTCTCTCTTTCTCTTTTCCTTTGTTCGTTTGCTTTGTTTCATAAATTTCACATATGAGTGAGGTCATACAGTATTTGTCTTTCTTGACTGACTTATTTTGCTTAGCGTTATACTCTCCAGCTCTATGCATGTTGTTGCAAATGGAAGGATTTCATTCTTTTTTATGGCCAAATAATATCCCATTGTGTATATATATCTCAACTTCTCTACTTAGTCATCTATTGAGAGACACTTGGACTGCTCCTGTAATTTAGCTATTCTATTTAAATAATGTATTCACCAGTTTTCAAAATAAAGAGTTGGTTCCCTAGTATTTACCAAGGATGATTAAATAAAGTTGCTATTTTGTTGAGTACCATCATGATTTGACAGATTTAAACACCACCGAAACATTTTAATCCATTGCAGCTGTTATTCTTATTGTTGCTTAAATTGTTCCATCTTTGGCTCATAGTGGTTTGGGCCAGTGCTGGGGTTTGGGCCAGAGTTTCTGATGGCTTCCTTGATATCCTAATATTAAGACAAATGTTTTAGGCTTATTTTGTACACCTCCTGACCAGACCTGGAATTAGCTATTTCTCTAAGAAATCCTATTGCCTTTTTGTAGGAAATGTTATTTGAAGATCATAATCTGATGGTGCTCATTGTTCCTGGGTTGTTCATTGTTTCTAGAACTTTTTAGTGAGCAGATCTAAGAAATATGATTTCTTTTTTTAAAGAGAAAATATATTATGAACGTATATTTCCCATTCAATTTTATAGAATTTTTACTTAACTATCTTTCATTTAATATAATTTATTGTCAAACTGGTTTCCATACAACACCCAGTGCTCATCCCAACAAGTGCCCTTCTCAATGCCCATCACCCACTTTCCCCTCTTCCCCCAACCCCCAATCAACCCTCAGTTTGTTCTTAGTATTTAAGAGTCTTTTATGGTTTGCCTCCCTCCCTCTTTTACTTAACTATCTTAATTGTGTTTCTCCTTTCTCCAACTCCAAAAAAAATCCTGGCTTTTAATGATGCTGACATAATTACTTATTTGCTTCCCTTCACCCCCCACATACACACAAGTATCAAATAAAATTAGACTTCCAACAGTACAGTTACTGAAAATGTTTTAAGGTTTTACTTCTTCTTATTTTATTTTTTGCAATAGACAATAGGCATTGTCTATTAAGGATGTAGAGTGAAACTACTATGTTTTAAGGTCAATTGAAATAGTTCCTCTGAGTGGCTGTGCCACTAACTGAATACACAGTTGGATTTGTTTCATTTTGCTTTCACTTATTAGGTAATTCTTTTTTTTTTTTTTCAAATTTCATATAATTTCTTTGTCTTTTTAAAAATAATTTTTATTTTGAAATAATTACAGATCCACAGGAAGTTGTAAACATAGTGCAAAAGGATCCCCCAAATCCTCCACCCAATTTCTCCCAATGGATACATCTTACATAATCATAGCACAATCTGGAAACCAAGAAGTTGACATTGGTAAAATGTGTGTGTGTGGTTCTATGCCATTTTATCACATATAGATTTGTGAAACAACCATTATAATCAGGATATAAAACTGTTCCATCACCACAAACATCTACCTCGTACTACCCCCTTATAATCATACTCTCCAGCCCCTCTCATCATTTCAATATCTTTACTCTCCTCCATGTATAACACAGTATCTTAAACATTTCCTTGGCACACATTGAAAAACCCACATCAGACAGTATTATAAGTTTTGCTTCAGGCCTGAAACCAATATTATACTACACGTTAACTAACTAGATTAAAAGAAACAAAAACAAACTTGAGACAAGAAAATTTTTTTTGCGTCGACTATCAAACTTAGAAAAATTGTCTATTATATTTACTCATATTTTTATTCTTTTGTTGTTCTTTTTTCCTTCCTGAAGTTCCAAGATGCCTTCTTTTATACTTTCTTTCTGATTAAGTACTTCTTTAGCTATTATTTTAAAGTAGGTCTACTGGTAACAACTTCTCATACGTTTTCTTTCTTCTCGGAATGTCTTGATTTTTTTTCCTTCATTCCTTTTTTTAAAATTTTTTTTTTTATTTATTTGTAGGAGAGAGAGAGAGAGACAGTGTGAGCAGGGGAGGGTCAGAGAGAGAGGGAGACACAGACTCTGAAATAGGCTCCAGGCTCTGAGCTGGCAGTCAGCACAGAGCCCGATGCGGGGCTCAAACCCACGAACCGCGAGATCATGACCTAAGCGAAAGTCGGACGCTTAACCGACTAAGCCACCCAGGCGCCCCTTTTTTCCTTCATTCCTAAAGGATATTTTTGCTGGATATAAAATTCTGGGTTGATAAATCCTTTTATTTTAGCAATTGAAAAATGTTTTGTATCTCTTTTTGGAGTGTGATGAGGTTTGTGAGGAGACATTTGCTGTCATTCTTTTCCTTTATAAGTGAGGTGTTGGGGCACTTGAGTGGTTCAGTTGGTTGAGTATCTGACTTTGGCTCAGGTCATGATCTCGTGGTTCTTGAGTCTGAATCCCACATCAGACTTCCTGCTGTCAGCACAGAGCCTGCTTAAGGTCCTCTGTCCTACTCTCTCTCTGCCCCTCCCTTGCTTGCACTCTCTCTCTCAAAAATAAATATTCATAAGTGAGGTGTCATTTCTCTCTCACTACTTTCAAGACGTAGTTTTCGAAAATCTGATTTTGATATGTTTTGGTATATATTTGTTTGAGTTTACCTGTTCTGGAATTCACTCAGCTTCTGGAATCTGTAGGTTTATATCTTTGGCCAAAATTAGGAAAATTTAAGATATTATTTTTTTGAATACATGTTCAGCCATACTCTGTTTCCCTTATCCTTCTGGAACTCTACTAACACAAATTTTAGATTTTTTTGCTGTAGCCCTAAGTCCCTCAGGCTCTGGTTTTATTTATTTCTTTTTTGTTCGTTTGTTTTTGTTTTGTTTTGTTTTTCTCTCTTTTGCTCCGATTGGATTATTTTTCTCTCTCTTCTAGTTTACTACTGCTTTCTTCTATCCTCTGCATTTGTTATGCTGTTTTATTGTGTTTTCCAGGCTTACAATTTCCAT